TAAAGTGGACATACGCAATGCCGGTCCCGGCTGTGCTGAAATCGTCGAAAACCCGCGTCATGTTTACAACACATTTTGGCGTAATTGTCGGAAAGGTTTGGAAATAATTGGAGTGGCATATGACTACTGAGCCTATATTTGATAGTATACCCGAATTCTATAGGTATCCTTGGACTAACCGATGAGTTATGCTCATTTGAAAATGACCTTTTCAAACATCCCCTGAAAACACTGTCCATCTTAAAAACGTAGAGATATAAGAAAATTGCCAAAAAACTCCACGCCAAATCTACCATGAGAAGATTCGCCACACTTTTCTGGACATGGTCCATTCAAGAAACCCTGCCCCAACCTGCCCCCCGGCCTTTGGCTCAACTTTGAACGTATCGGGTTGGCCCGCCCGGGGAGGTCCGGCTACAGGGTGGGGGCGGCGGCGGCTCCGTAACGTTACGCGGATGGCTCAGCCGCTGTATTTCTGACTTGTTATATTGCAGAATACGGTCGCCAATGAATAAATCTTGACAATTTTTTAACCCTCGCCCATATAGGGGGTGCTGGTGGGGGTCGAAAGGACCCCTCTCGGTTTTTCGCAAAAAGCTCATGTAAAAAGCGGCCGATCGCGACGAAACTTTCAGTACCCTCGAGTTTACACATACCCTTTACACATACCCTTTAAACATACCCTTTAAATTTCACGAACCTAACCCCAATGACCTTTGACCTGTGACCTATTTCTCGAGACCATGTTTGGCCGGAAGCGCGATTGGGCGTATGTTTGCTTGCATTAGCCGCGCATTTGCAGTCTTTTCGTGGTTTCAAGCGTCTTAACATTTGATATTATGATGTAAGTCCCATGCATTATGGTCGGCGTCAAGATCACTTGAAGGTCAGGTCAGTTCAATGACCTTTGATGACCTCGGCTCACCTTTTTTAGTTTTACATGCTTCCAGGCTTGTTTTTGGAGCTGATTTCGAATTTATTAACCACTTGAACATTTAGGAAGAAGTTTTGGTGCCTTCGTAACATGCAACGAAGCTGTCACTGGCGGTTGACAGTTGACACCTATTAATTATGAATACCCGGCAGGACTGGTTGGCCTGACCTGGCCTGACCCGACTTACGTTTGCGGCTAGCAAAACACCAATACGGGCGAGGGTTAATGACATGAAGGTGCTTATGGTGTAAGTCTTTGTTTTTAGACTTTTACTCCCATTGCTGAGGTTCAGTCCTATCGGTGCGTGTATTTCAGCAACCATCTACCGATTCATGTGCTTCACCAGGAACATTCACACAGAAACATAATTAGATGTTGTTTTTTTCCAGCAAACTTTGGACAATCATAAGAATTTACCAGAGAAATGATGGGAATTTCGTAAACGATTCATCCTCCTAACATGCCCAGCAATTGCTGGGACCCACAATTTTATGCCTCTTATTTGCGGTTAAATTCCAGGATTTCATAATCAGAGTCGGAGTCGTCTGTCGTTCGGAGTCAACAGTTCTGACCCTGCAGTCAGAGTCGGAATCGGAATCGATTTTGGAATCCGGACCAAGACTCTTAGTCTGAGTCACCGAAAATCCATCGACTGCGTGGACTTGCCATGGCTGCGGAGTCAGAGTCCGAGTCGATCGTATAAGTCGACAGTTTTGCCCGGAGTCAGAGTTGAAATTGACTTTTGAAAGCCGTAGTCGGAGTCGGAGTAACTCCATCGACTTCAAAGCCCTGGCCTGGTAAGCACATCACCCGTCGTAAGCTAGTTCTCCTTACTTTTAGAGGCGGAACTATGCTATTATATGTCAGCAAGCATATATAATGCATCGTAAAAGGTCTCATATAGGTTTAAGTGTCAATTCTGAAACCAGGGAACCATTTTCAACGGATCCGAGCAGCGCTGGGATTTAATTCGCGCTAAACTGGTGTTTGGCCACACTGTGCGTCCGTCCGTCTGGGAGGAAGGTGCGGCGCCACGACCCGGCCGCGCGGCCCGCCGACAGTCCGGCCGGGCGGACCGGACCGGACCGGGCGGCCGCCAGGTGGCGTCACCCCCGCCCCGCCGCCGCCGCCGCCGCCGCCTGAGCGGCGCCACGTCACCGGCCCACCAGCTATCTTTGGCGCCGCGTGCATTGCCGGGATAATTGTCACCGGGCCCGGTCGGCGGGCGCCGGCGCCCCCCCCCCCCCCGCGCCGACCGGTCACCCCCGGTCGCCGGGCCGGCGCCGCCTCTGCCGCTGGCAGCGGCCGCTATCCCTCATAGCCGGGCGGCGAGCTCTGTTTACGGCTGACGTCAGCCGGAGAGGAATTCCAGCGCGGCTGCTCTCGGCGGCGGCAGCTCGGCGCCGGAAGCGCGGCCGGCGCCAGTCTGGCGGCGGCTGGCGGCCGGCCGCGGCGGGCGGCCGTGAGACGGCTGGGCGCGCCGCCGAGCCGAGCCGCCGAGCCAGCAGCCCGGAGCTAGCAGCCGCGCAGAGATCGCAAGACGAGGAACAGCGGGCCGCTCCGACGGGCACGGAGAAAGTGACGGTTCGTGTGCAGCAGGCCTGGAGACTGAACAGGCAGGCAAGGAGGCAGGCCTGGATGGTCCTGACTGAGAGTGGTGAAGGGCCAGAGCAGACTCCGACACGCTAGGACCACAGAGGCTTCTAATGAGCTGACAGCATGCTAGAATGGACAACAGGGAATCGATGTATGAATCAGAGGAATGAGGCAACGTTTTAAAATCAATGAACACTTGCAATGCTGCCCGAATTTTCAATGTGCCAACGCCAAGCTCAATGAGGGGTAGCGACAGTCCAGTTTCTACAGGAAATCTGAGGCACGAGGTGCCAAGGAGAACCGAATGCGGAAAATCATTTAAACACGATCTTAACTCCACCTTATAAGGCGAGGAAACCCCGTGAATTATTTATCACATTGCAGGGCACATCGCTGTGCACGTTTTCTCTGTAGACTTCCCCGTCGTTTAACATGGCACATGTGTGCAGTGAGAGGGCTCTATCCGGTGCCAGCCGTACCCGTCGACCCGCTTTCGTATTTTGCGCGGCCCGCTGAACCGGTTGCAAACAAATGCTGACTGCTGCTGAGTACCTCAAGCAGATCGGCATGACCGCAAAGCCTGCCGTGGCGTCAGCGGGCCAGCGGCAGAGATCAGCAGATCAGCGCCGTGCCAGCGGGAGCCCGAATATCAATAATCGTCCGGTCTGTGTCTGTGCTGCAGCCGCCGCCTCCGCTCGCGCCCCTCTGACACGCGACCTCCTCATAAAATGGTCGGGACGGTCCGCCTTCCGAAAATGTCCCGAACCATTTCGAGTAGGAGCCGCCGTGCTAATTTATTCGATCCGGGTCGCCCGGCGGCGCCGCGATACGGACTGCTCGCCGATTCCGAGAACCGGCAGCAGGTTTGGCGGTGCGACGCTGGCGGCGCTGGCGGCGGCGGACGGAGCGGCGGCGGCGGCGGCGGCGGCCGGCAGTGGCCGTCCGCGGCCGGTCCGGTCCGCGCGCCCGTACCGTCCTCTCCGTGTGTGAGCCCATCCGAGCAGTGACCTGGCTCGGCGAGCCGACAGCGCTGGCCGAGACGCGCTCGGGGCCGCGTGCCTCGCTCCACCGCCGCCACGACCCGGCCGAGCGGCGCGCGGCTCACGCACGCCGTTGGGACGCGCCGCGCAGCCGACGGAGCGGCGTCGGTGGCCGCGCGACGACCGGCGGCCACGGCACGCGGGCTCCTGTGTGGGCGCAGTGGTGGTGACGAGCGGCAGCGCGTGAGTTACCAGTGGTGACGGACGGTGGATTGTGGACGGTGTGAGTCGGGTAGTGGAGAGTGGACGGGTGTTGGGTGGACAGCGGGGACCCTGGACGGAGAGGTGGCGTGCGCGGCCGACCCCCGGTGGGCGGGTGTACGACGGACGGCGGCCGGCGGGCCCGCCCAGCTGCGTCCGACGACCTTCGGCGCCGCCGGTGAGTCACCCTCGACGGGCCGGAGTCGCGCCGGCCTGCAGCGACCCGGCCGGACCATGCAGCGTCTGGCCGAGAGGCGCCGATCCCCTCCGCGACCCTGCAGCGGGGCAGTGCCCCCTCCCCTAGGCGTACCGCCCCTGCAGCGGCCAGCGGCCTCTAGGCGGCATGCGAGTCGCCCCTGCGGTGGACGACTCGTCACCGGCTCATACCGGTGCAGTGACATTGGTTCTGTTATCGTAGCTCGTTCAGAGTCTGACAAACTTCATAACAGCTCCACCAGTGGGCAATGTGAAGTAGCTTTGCTTAGTGCACCTCTGGGCATTCATCTCTAAACTACGACGCGAGTTTTACGCGAGACGGAAAAGGCATGCTTCTTAGTAAGCCTTTTGTAAATGGAACGGACGTATTTACTTTTGCAGCCTGCAATACGCATATGTTATGCCTGGTAGTTTTATTTGACAACATTCCGACTATTCCCCATAAGGCTGTTAGTTTCAACAGACAACACGAAAGTAACTGGAAACCGCTTTGTTTACCTAGCGTTGACGCGTTGGAGTTTCTCGAGTCATTTACACGCAGCAAAAGGGAGTGCAAACAAATCGGCACTACTGACAACTGGGTTTGACGGTTTACCACGCCTCGCATGCGTTGAGTCCGACTATTTACCTAAACTATGACTTTATCCACGAGATCCTTTATCAGTGCTCTGGCTGTTACAGCTTGCAGTTTTGGAGGCGCCAGCCGTTGGCGTTGTTTATTTTCACTGTAGCGTCATGGCCGTTACGTTGAACAGAGGACGAGTGTTGGGAGGGCTCCTGTTGCCCTCTCAGGTCGAGTACCAGCGGCCGAGCGTGGCTATTATTTGCACTCTCCTCCGGTTGCATTGTTCAGAAGTAACTAAGTGGGTACCTATTTCTGTGTTACACTATGATGTGTTAACTGCGGACGGCTGTTGTGTCATTGTTTCTGTACCGTCGCCCGCTGTCACTCTATATCCTCTCGACTCGTGCTGTATATTGTCGCCTCTGACCGAGCGTATGGTCTGTTTCAGCCTGGATAATGGCCTCGTCCAGCGACGCCAGCTCGTCCGATAACGGAGGGCATCACGGTGAGTACACGGCAGACGGGCGCTGAGCAGGAGTGTTGGCAGGGAGAGGGAATAACGCGCCGGGCTGCTGCTCCAGAGCACGGATAAGTCACTCGTAGTGTGCGACATTCTACAGGGGAGAACGACTGAAGTGGCCTCTCAATTGTAATGGACTATTCGAACATTGACATGCCGAGAGAAAATGTTAGGATAGAGGCTACCGCAGTACCTATACCTCAGTACCTCGGAGACCGTTTGATCGCCAGCCGAACGGTTGCTCGGTATAGCGAGACCGTGGGAGCCCAGTTGGAGTCGCGCCGGTGCTCGCTGATGCTGCTTTTCTTTTTCACGGCTATATTGTTTGCGGTCATGTCATTGGCAGTGAGCACGGCACTTGCAGTGAGCATGGCACTTGATAGGCCTGAAATTATACCTGGGGTTGCCTTTGGGACGGATGAGGTGAAGAACTTTTGGCAGTTGCTGTCCTCATGAAATACACACCCAAAGTATGTGTAGCTTGTAATGATGCAAAAAGCTATGTAGGTATATTGACTGCATTGTTGTTCACCAAATTACCTTCCCTGCGTTACGGCATGATATGGATGTTTGGACAAACCACTGTGCATGGAGTCGAGCTGTGGCCTCATTCGTTTATGTCTGAGGCCAGTTGGGACCGTGGTCGGGCTGCACTGAACTGATTCAGAACACTGCGCTGGCAGGATGGTGGCCGCATGTGTCCAATGGTCCGTTATATGACCGAAGAGGAATGTTTTATTGGGGCGTAGCTAGCGGCGAATGCATGCTCTTATGTCCTTTCCAACCATTGCAATTCTCGCAATTATTCACACTCTTATACGACGTACCAACGATGAAAAGGTTCTAACCATTTACCGGCGGCTAGAAATTCTGACGAGAGATGAAGAAATGCCGCCGTGTTTTTGGTAATCGCTAATAATCCCACGTAACGTCCGCATCAGCCGCCGGGCGGTGTCCAGTTTCTGGGAGCGGATCAGGCCGCTGCAGAGGCCGATTTTCCCTTCCTGTTCGTGGTGAGCCGACTGCTGACCTCCTGTAATCTCTAGCCGGTAATGGGTGATCGAGTTTCGAGACAAATGCCACAAGAATGCCTCGCTTCCCGGCCGGCAAATGAATGGGCGTGTCATTTTAGGCACACGGCCGATCAGCCGAGCGATTTGAGCCTTTGACACTTGGATATTGTTCTTGGGAACAGATTTGAACTAAATATGTCTGCCCGACAGTGGCGCTTCCGATAACGGCACTTGTTCGAACCACTCCTGCTGAAGCTGGGTCTGAGTATGCATTACTGAAGACTGTAGTCTTCAATTGCCCCCCGGTTACCATGGCGACCGAGTCGTGCCGTCGGCACCGCTCCGCCGTGGCGGCCGCGTAATGGCCAATCGAGCCGTGTTCTGGGAACTCCGTCAGCGCCGACGCTGCTAGCGCTGTCGTGGTCAGCCGAACCGACTGCGTGCCGCGTGGGAGAAGATGACTCCGTGTAGGATATCTTCCCCGGAGAGACAAAGCAGCCTCACTGCGGTATCCGGGACTGACCGGGCCGTAAGCAGTAAAAGACGATGTGTCTTATTTCCCTCGTACAATTAACTCGCATTGTGTTCTGCGTTCATATTTTACGTCTTCGCTGGTAGCTTTAGAAACCTTTCTTTACTACACACTGGATGTAACTGCTGGGGTGATTGGGACTTGTAACAGTAGACTAGCTGCTTATTTCAGACTCGTAAAAACACATTCTATTTGCTCGCACCCCTACTGTCGGGCTGATGCGTCCATAGAACTAGCCAAGCTTTCCTTCTGGATCGCAGCACAAATCTCTGCCGTCTATCTTTCGGAAGACTGTTCTTTTCCACTCATAATCGACACCTCCTTCCATCTGTGGGTATTGATCTTTCTGAGCCCTATCTGGAAGTAGCTGACCTACCCTCCGGGAAAAGGACGGCTATTCACGGACGCTGCGCTGATGCGCAAAGGAGATGATCTGGCAGCTTGTCTCTGCGTCTCTGTCAGAGCGCTCAGATTTCCAGATGGGTTGACTCAGCGGAGATGGACCTCTGCCGTAGAGTTCTAGTTACCTGGCGTTCCACGTGGAAGGCCATTTAATGCCCGACCGACCGATGCATTCGTACCGAAGACGCCGCTGCCCTCGTTCAGCAAGGTCGATCGACGAGCAGTGGTATCGAGCAGCCATCCTATATCCGTCCCCGCGTGTCAGTCAGTTTATGTATGGGCCGGCTTCTGGCTTTTGTCAGCTTATTTTTCATTATTTTATTCCTAACCCAATGTTTGTTTCGCGTGTTCTTTTCCGAATCGAGGTTCTGTCGTGCGGTAATGTTTTTTGTTTGTTATCCTACGCCCTGCCCTGGGACAATGGGCAGCAAGCTGACATAACACCGGAGATCTATTTCGACCAGTTGCTGCCGCCGTTTGTTCACTGTTTGATCTGCTGAATCTCTCCCTGCTCCGCCCACCTGTGTGCGTCAAGTCACTGCCGGACGGGAGATCAGACGACTCAGTGACGCCAGGAGGGGCGCATCCGGCCGGCCGGCCGGCTGGCCCGGGGCCAAACAATGTCCACCCCTCCCCCCCCCCGACCCGTCCCCAGCTCCCCCACGGCGCGCGGCGCACGGCTCAGGTATGAGATCATCGACAGGAAGGCCAGCTGATCCGCCGCCGGCGCCGCTGACGGCAGGAGCCGCTGACGAGCTGCACTGATGTGCTTCACTGACGTGCTGGTGGGCTGCAGTGATGCGCTGTAACTACTGATGGGATGACGTGCTGCACTCGAGGCTTGGCGTCTGTTTACGTCCAGGGAAGTCACTCATGCCCGAGGGCCGAGAGGTCTTGGAACGACGCACCGACCCCGCAGTGTCGACACAACTCACAAGCTAGCGGTGAAGTCCCGTAGTCAGCGTAGTGCAAACCTGCTGTGTGAATATTACGGCTTGTCTCGAATCCTCGATCAGGCATGCCTCGGGGACTATACCCTTCCTGATCCAGGGCTGTCATTCGACTTTCGATTAGATAAATGTTCCTGTCTGCCTGCATACGTAGTGCGTGTCGCATCACATTCAACATACATTTGACACGCTAATAAAGAGGTCGCCTGGTACAGCGAGTCCCGTGAATGCGTTACCGTAACTCCAGCGGACCCGTCACTCCAGGGCGACTACGGACGCGCGCTGGACCGACTGGGATCGGCGCCCAGTTCCCCGAAATAAACTCCATTTCAGCAAAGGGCAGCGGCGCCGGCCGAGCGCGCCGGCCGATGAGTTTCCGGAAGCGGGCTCGTCGTACCGCTCACGGCCGTCACCGGGGCGGGGGGGGGGGGTGAAGCGGGCCAAACGTGCGCGCCTCACGCCACCCGGCGGTCGAATACGCACCGACAGGTGAAAGTCAAGTTCGAGCTCACCGCGTGCCTTTGTTCGGAACGAGTCCGATGAGCTGTCGTCGAGGGATTTGACCGTGTAGGTGGCAGGTTCCGGTGACGGTGGAAGGTGCTCTCTGTGACCTGAGGTCAGCACGGGCTCTCACTCCCTCCCCCCTGCAGCCGATTCCTTTGCTGCGCCCGTGGCGGCCGGCCGGCTGGCTGCAGCGGGGGGGGGGGAGGGGCCGCCGCGCCGCCACCCGGCGGGGCCCCCGGCGCGGCGGCTGGCGGCTGGCTGGCCCCGTTGCTAGGTGACGGCCGTAACACCCACCGGCCAGCCGGCCCGTGCCGTCTCCGAGAACCGCGTCACGTGACGGCCGGGGGTCACGGTGCCCCTGCCCTTGGGCGACGACGGCGTGCGACTTCGACGCCGGCGGACGGTGCCGCGCAGCCATTAGCGAGCTGTGCGCCGTTATTAATTATCCATAAATAGACCGCATAACTACATCTACTGCCGGTCACTTGGTGTAATGATGTAATGCATTCCATCCAGATGTTGTAGAATCCTGTGGGTTACCCTAGCAGCACGCCCGGCCGGCCGGCCGGCTGAAGGGCTGGATGTCTCCGCGGACCCCGCTCTGACCCGTGGGGCCTCCTGTCGACCTGGTGACAGCGGCGCCGGGCCGCAGCAGCCACTGGATGTGATCCGGCTGACTCAGTTCTCTGGATTAGGCTGCAGCCCACAGTGCATTCCTCAGACCAGAGTGGCAGCCGGACCACATGTTCTAACTCGGGTCACAGGCGACGGCTCAATTCTTATTTACGTAATATGTCTGTGGGGCGCAGGCCTACTTCGATTATTAGGATGTGTCAGTTGCTTTCAATTTGAACATTGAACAGTGCCGTTTACATTGAAAGTTTCGATGGAGCGTATCTTACAGTCAAACGTATCTTACATCTTGGTCAAACTATTATATTATTTTTCTTCCAAAGCAAATCACACCTAGTCGGATTTTCACGGATTTTCAAGAAGTTGATTGCCTCTGGCTTTCAACTTCTTTATAGGTTTACACTTGTTTCGGGAATGATATTTCGCGATACATTTACGAAGAACTGCCTCCTGCTACGTTTGTGTGATAGCTGGATATGGCCGAGACAGTCCCTCCCGGGCAGGTCAGAGTAAATACTAGGCACGCCTCTGCAGGCGATGGTGTTGGGGGGCTCAGGCCATCTCGGCCACACCACTCGAGGGTCCGTCTGGTCTGCCGGTCCTGCAGGTGACTCACCGTCCGTCCCATCATGTGATCGACTATCAGCTCTCAGTGTCGTGGCCACTCTGATCTCGGTGCACGTCTGGTTTGTAGGCCGTATGTGGTGTGAGATCCGCCACCATTCCATGAACAGGTCTGTCTCGGGCAGTTCTGGTACCGGGACACCGTCTCAATACTGATCTTGATGCCACCGGATTCCTTAGGCTCTCCATTGAAAGGTATATCGGCCAGCTGACCTTCAAAGTTCGCTCGCAGTCGCGGCGGCGTCTGCATGGCCCGCTGACATGGATGCCGTGGTGACCTTTCGGGTCGGGCGGTTGGCGACGACGCTAACGTGTTTCGCCAGAACG